CCCAACCCCTTTCCCCCCCCCCCCCATTTTGACCATTATTTCAAGCGAAGTGAGATTGGGAGTTATCCCAGACCTGTTCACACTCCTCCCTGGCTCCCAGGAAACATAATCCTTGGGCTGTTCCATGTGCTAGATTATGCCTCATCTCCATCAGAAATAAAATTATATTGTTATTAGAATATTTGCTCTATGTACATTGTTGATAAATTTGAATGAAGCAACTTCTTTTACCTGTGGCTTACGCTGTTAAAGTCATCTTACTTTCAGCCAGAATTTGGCCTGTATTGTTTAACTAGTTCCAGTGGTTTGGTTTACCATACCATGAAAAATTATGAAATAAAACTTTTCCATTCCTCTGGCTCTAAGTGTAAATATATTTATTTTTTTCATAATTAACCTTCAGTGTTAGGACAGGAATTACTGTCTTTTCCCTGCTTTGTTATCTTTTTCAGAATTCCAAGCAATTCTGTTATGAATGAGTTTTATTCTCTAAATGGTTAGTAGTTCTCTTAGTATCTCACCTAATTAGAAAGCTGTGTCCTACCAACTGATAGATAATGGCTGGCCATGAATATTTCAGCCTTATAGTCTGAAAATCAGATCCAGTGGTAGCAGAGAGAACATCAATCCCTAAAATGAAATTATTTATAGCATTTCGGGTCTAAAGGAACTTTTCAGTGCATTTCACTGTTAATAATATAGGATGTTTACACACATAACATTCTTGTAAGTTTGGAGGTAACCAGAATTGTAAGCTGGGTGATAGCCTCTAGTCTTGCATGAAGTTTGAGTGAATCTTTTGCATTCTTACCTATTTAAGGACTTCTGCTGGGTGTTTTGAGGAGCAGCTAGGCTGTCTCTACCACAAAGATATCCATCTTCTTTATTTGCAAGTTTTAATATACTTTATTTAACATCTGTGATATTGTGCACAGGAAAACCATGCTGAACAGTTGCAGAAATGAATTATTAATTGGCTTGCAACTATCTAGCTGTTTGCTAAGTGCTATAGCCAGTACTTCCCATCGCCATTCCTTTCATGTCCTTGGTTCCTTCTTTCTTTAGCCGTCTAGTTTCTTTCGATCACTCATTCTATGTTGATTGAAATCACATTGTTAATTCTTTGGGGACTGAAGTCTCTCAGTGTTTCTACATCTCTTAGCAATTAATAATGAGAAGACCGATTACAACGTTTTCTGGGTGGGAAAGGGAGACCAAGAGAGAAAAACAGGATAAGGAAAGGAGTTCTTGGTCTGATTAGTTTCTGAATATTTGCTGTGAAATAGACTTTTGCAAAGCAAGTCAAAGGAAATGACATTATAGAGGTTCATGTAACCTTTTGTTGCTTAGTTAATTAGAACTGATTTTCATTCATCTAGTTCTCTGCCACCACTCTCCTACTTATTTGCCTGTCTTTGAGCATGTTTTCTTTGGGTTTTTTGCAGGTCAGAATTAGCTTCCTGCTGTGATGCAGTTCACAATTTCATTGCTTCTCAAAACAACACCCCACTGGGAAGTAACATGAGTTACGAAGTGGACAGTAAAAAGACCGTCCTCATTACAGAGGACATTTTTAAGATGCTGCCTGTGGTAAGAACTGGATCTTGACCTGTTGCTATAATTGCAGTATCATATATATTTTGGGTTAGTAGTAGAGCTGCTTGGTTTGATTCCTCTGTATGCGCTTCTTCATTCACCTTGTGAGACCTTTTGTTTCACCTTCCTCTGCGGTGGTGGAGGCATGGACAGGGTGTCACAGAGCAGATGGTAGGTAGAGTTGCTACAGAACACAAGTTGCAGCCTGGCTTGGCAGCCAGCTGAACTCAGGAGTGAATCCTCTGGGAATGTTTGCCTTGCTGTTCTCATTCCCATTTTCAAAAGCATTTGAGTCTAGAACAACATTTCATATTCCCATCCCATTTCTGGTGCAGGCTTGGGCATAAATTTAGGGTGGTAAACCTGGTACATTTCAGTTGGAAGGAATCTACCACGATCATCTAGTCCAACTGCCTGACCAATTCAGGGCTCACTAGACGTTAAAGAGTGTTACTAAGGGCATTGTCCAAAAGCCTCTTAACCACTGACAGGCTTGGGACGTCACCTCTCTAGGAAGTCTGTTCAAGAGTTTGACCCCCCTCTCTGTAAATAAATGCTTCTGATGTCCAGTCTAAACCTTCCCTGATGCAGCTTTGAACCATTCCCACACTGGATAGTAGGGAGAAGAGCTCAGCTCCTCCTTCTCCACTTCCCCTCCTTAGGAGACTGCAGGGAGCAAAAAGGTCACCCCTCAGCCTCCTTTTCTCCAGACTAGACAAGCCCAAAGTCTGTAGCTGCTCCTCAGGACGTTCCTTCCAGCCCTTTCTTCAGCTTTGTTGCCCACTGGGGTGGTGCCTTTGCAGCCACAAACACAGGTTGAGCAAAGGAACCAGACGTTGTATCTCAGGACTTAGAATAAGCATATAAGCTCTGGAGACCAGACAAAGAGGGGCACAGAGCTGTACTTAATTTCTCAGAACTAAGAGCACATGGGAGCCCTCCTACCTGTCTTTAGCATTCTTGGTTTGTGATCCCAACTGCTCTGGGTCTAGTCCTTCCTAATGCTGCCGTGAATCACTAAAAACTTCATTGCAATAGAGGTTACAATTGTTCCAAATTTAAATTGGATGAAAGAAAAAAGTAGTATGTTTTATATGCATATATGCTTGCGAAGCGCGCCAGAGATGTCTGCCCTTTGTATGCTCCTACTGTCTTTTCGGAATTGAACAAAATAGTTGCCAGAGATGTCTGCCCTTTGTATTCTACTGTCTTTTCGGAATTGAACAAAATAGTTGAACGTGTTGTTTTGTAATATATTGCCAGGCAACATGATGTCTGCTACTTTCCCCGTGCTTTTTGCCTTGTTCATAGCAGTATTCCTTCCTGCTTCTCTTTGGGCAAGCTCAGAAGAGAAGGAGGAAGGATAACACTTTGGGTAAGCAAGTTTTGACTCAATTTTACAAGCGGGCTCAGTTTCTGCAGTCAAAGTAGCCCAGCTGTTGGCCTCTCTGTTGAATGTCAGTGCTTCCACAGCAGGAGAGGCTGAATGAGATGTACGAGATGTTTCTGAGACCCTGGGATAACAGCCAGCTGTATTAATGTCAGCTGAAATAGCCAGCAATTCACATTAATTTGCTAGGTTGTCGTCTGTGCTGGTTCACAAGCAGTTGGGCTGAGCTCCTGTTCAGCTTCCCCACTGAAGGCAGCAACCTCTAGCAAGAAGAGGAGTAGAGAGGGTGAACAACCAGAAGCAGTAACCTCTCCAGTTGGCCATCACATTCGCCGGGAGTTAAGCCAGGGTGCGTGATTATCCTTTACGGTGTTCACGTTCCCCTAAATTCATTATTTTACATCGAATGGAATTGCATGATGACAAAGTAATGAGCATTTACAAAGTTACCTTCTCTTAGCTGACAAAGTCAATGACTATGTGACGAAGCCCAGTCTGTTCCAGTGCAAAGGAAAATGGGTAAATTTAAACTATCTTCAGATCAACTATCCTTAGTTTGTCAAGGATTCAGTCCACTGCTAGAGGATTTTTGTGTTAAGTGTATTTAAAAGGTTCTCATCCTGTTTTAACAATCCAGTGTTATTCCCTCCAAGTACTGATGACAGCAGTAGCAGTTCTCAGTCTGGTGGTGACAGCTGGTGTCCACCTCTGGATCCTCAGCACAGGAGGGACATGGACCTCCTGTTGGAATGGGTCCAGCGGAGGGCCACAAAGATGATCAGAGGCTGGAGCACCTCTGCTGTGAGGACAGGCTGAGAGAGCTGGGGTTGTTCAGCCTGGAGAAGAGAAGGCTCCGGGGAGACCTTAGAGCAGCCTTCCAGTAGCTAAAGGGGCTACAGGAGAGATGGGGAGGGACTCATCCTGCTACATGAGAGCTAGGGAGGCACTCTTCCTGCTACATGAGAGCTGGAGAGGGACTCTTTGTCAGGGAGTGCAGTGACAGGACAAGGGGTAATGGTTTTAAATTGGAAGAGGGGAGATTTAGATTAGATACCAGAAAGAAATTCTTTGCTGTGAGGGTGGTGAGACACTGGAAGAGGTTGCCCAGAGAAGCTGTGGCTGCCCCATCCCTGGAGGGGTTCAAGGCCAGGCTGGATGGGGCTTGGAGCAACCTGGTCTGGTGGGAGGTGTCCCTGCCCAGGGCAGGGGGTTGGAACTGGATGATCTTTGAGGTCCCTTCCAACTCTAACCATTCTGTGATTCTATGATTCTGGTTTTGGCTCTTGGCAATCCAAGAGTGGTCACCCTGTCTGCTAAATGGTGGATGCTTTCACTGTGCTTTACCAGATTAAAGCTGCAAGGACAAATGACTGAAGATGCAAAGAAACAATCAAAAGACTTATAAGGCACTGGCTGTGTCTTTTTATTTGTTTGCAGTCCTCTCCTCTTTCAGTCTATCCCTTCAAGACCTGTGCTGTGGTTGGAAATGGAGGCATTCTGAAAAATTCCAGCTGTGGAGCTGAAATTGATCGTTCTGACTTTGTGTTTAGGTAAGAGCTGCTTCATCTTACCAGGGGTGTCAAAAGTTTCTAAAATCTTGGCAGTCTTGGAAGCATGCCAGCGCCAGCCTGTAGCAGTGAGGAAGGGTCCTGACAATGTTTTATTTTCTGTCTCTCTAAGGATACTTCTGCTTTGTAGATTTCACAACGCTGCTTTCTAAGTAAAGAGAGCACTCTATGGAATGCAGCTATGATCTATGAGTGCAAAGATACCTTTTTCTCAATCGGGAGAAAAGAATAAAGAAAACTCTGTAACTGAAATAAGAAAACCTGGTATTAAGTGTCACATGCTTACCTTTACTTCTGGTTTAACAAGTGGTTTACTTAGCCTTAGACTGGCTCCCTAATGCAGTTATTTAACTGCTCCAGTATCTCTCTCACCTTCTGTTAGCCATCTAAAAAATTAGGCATCTAATTTAAGTAGTTTTTTTCAGCTCCCTCGATGGATTGTGGAAAAACCCAGGCATACTCAGAGCGTAATTTGGATCACTGTCTCAGTGTGTGACTCACACTTTGTAGTTCCTGCAAGGGAACAGAGTAACCAAGTGGAGGTTCCTCTCTTAGTGATGTCCAATCACACAAGTCAGCTGGACTTTTTTTCCTTTCCTGCTTTTGTGTAATATTTGGACTTCACAGATTTAAAAAAAAAAAAAAAGTCCTTCCAATTAGATAACTTTTCTTAATAAAAATCTGCGTGCTAAGATGCTAAGCTTAAAAAGTGACTGACTTCAAAAAAATGCTTCCTTTACCTTTTACAGAAACCTCTGTTTCTGCAATTGGGCAAGTTATGCTGTTGTTATCTCATGAAACAGCTGTCACCATCACTGTGCAAGCTGAAGGACTTCTATCAATCAGACTGTTTTAAAACAGAAAATAATAGAAGACTTTCAGAAGAAATGCATTGTTTAGGCAGAAGGAGCAGTATTTCCAAGCAGCTAACATAGGTCATTCATTGACTGGCTCCTTCCGGGATTTTAACTTTTCTCCTGATTTGTGAGATGATTTATGAAAATGAGCTCTCTGTGCCCTATTTTAACCATCTGTACAGCAGATTAAATATTTTTACTAGAAGTGCTGTAAGCCTTATTTAATATTTGTAAAGTGCTTAGAGATCCCTGGGAGCTGACGTGAAAGTGTCATTGCACAAGAGAGGAATTTGCAAATAATAACTGTAAAGCATTTCTGGTGCACATCTGTTTAAGTAAATGTTTCTCAATTTCAGGTGTAACCTCCCTCCAACCACGGGAAGCATTAGCAAAGATGTTGGCAATAAAACAAACCTTGTGACTGTTAATCCGAGTATCATAGCTCAGAAGTAAGTACCACTGCAAATCTCTTTCCGTGCAATATTGTATAATTGTTTGACATTATTTAGATTTTGTTGGCAATCCCTTGGGATACCAGCGTAGAGAGCAGTGCATGCAGATGGTTTCATGAAGCCTTAGTTCCCATGTGAAATATGTACCAGTCTAAATGGAAATCAGCTAAACCTGGCCTTTTTTTGTAGCAGAAAGGAGTCAGCAATACCCAGATTAGCAAGTGCCTCAGTTGGCACAGGTCCACGATTTATGACAGAGTAAAACTGATGGTTGCAAGCCCAAGCCTCTTTTCCCCCCATGACCCTCAACGTACGAAAGGAATTGTAATCATAATTCAGGAAAGCATGGAAATGTGTGTCTGACTCTATCAGAAGGACTGTAAGCACATGTTCTTAAGTAAAGTGCTTAGAGGCTCTTCTGATGAGGGCTGTTTCCCAAATGGAAGCCCAATTCCTGTAATCCATTTTCTCAATCCGTATGAAAGCTGCTCACAGACTTTTTGCCCAGCAAAGTTGTTTTTTTCTTCACCTTCCTGATGAAAAGAAAATCTAATAAGGCCAGGCTGACTAATCTGACATCTTCAGCAGGCTGGAACTTCAGTTTATCTATGAAAAGGACTGATGTGGCATGTTATTTACTGCTTACTGATCTTACTGGATCTTATTGTCTGTCATATCTGTATTTGTCAAATAGACAACATCAGGCAAAGTTTTTTTTCCTTTAAAGGAAGAAGGGAAAAGTACAGTGAGTATAGAAATGACTAACAGGCATTTGTCATTGATTCAAGGATAGAACTTGATTTTTTGCAATGAGTACTAACTACCTTGATGCTTACCTAGCCCTTTTTGACTTAACTGAAGATGAATTGTTGCTTCCCCAATAATAGATTTATCTCATTGATGTTAGTGGGGCTGCACCCGAATACGATGAAGGAAAACTTTGTCCCATGACTCAGCATCATTGGTGATAACTGACGTGATGCACGATTTGTCTGGACTTGATCAAAGTGTTCTCTCACAGCTGCACTTATTTTTTAGCCAAATTAAGCCACAACGGGGTTAATAGGAGTTACACCGAAGGAAATAGGAGCTAAACCTGTGCGAGGGTGAAATGAGATTATGAGAGAACTTTGGGACTTTAAAAAATTAATTATTTAAATAATCAGACAACACTGTAAACACTTTTGAAGGAGGAGCAGGGGGCAACTTGACACCAGAAGAAGCAGAACTAGGTTTGCTTCTTCTCTCCAAAGACCTCTTCTGACTTTATTCCTTTTAATTCTGTATTTGGGTACTGGGTGAGTCTGATGTTATTATTGTTAAGGTTAATCAGCTCTTGAACTGTGTGTGTCAGGGCGTACGATGTAGGTGAACTCACCTGGAGGAGAGAAGCGCAGTTCTTGCGTGTCCTGGTGGAGCTGGGCTGCACTGTGCCTTGCAGTGGCAGAGCTGGAAAGGCAAACAAGACACAGCTGAGTTGTGACTTCCACCTAAGGAAGAGCAGAGATCTGGATTCTGTCCTGAAGGCTCTTTATGTACTTTACACTGAGTAGAAATAGAGAAGATTCTTGGAGTAGGGTTCAGAAGTTGACCCTTCAGCCGCTCTTCTTAAACATAGGCACAGGTGTTTCTTGCTTGTTTTGGCAGCCTGCCTCTTGCAGGCACAGGGACCCAGGGTTACCAGGGGGGGCTGAGTCCCTCTCATTCATTTTATTTCAGAGTCTGGCAGTAATGGTGCTTTTCTGGGAAGCAGAAGCTGTAATTTTAACCCCTTCAGGCTGAGATGGGGTGTATCACTCCTTGCATGAGTTCAGTTGGGCAAGAGGTAACGGAATCACAGAATCACAGAATTGTCAGAGTTGGAAGGGACCTCCAAGGATCATCTGGTCCAACTCCCCTGCCAAAGCAGGGCTGCCCAGAGCACATCACTCAGGAGCATCCAGGCGGGGCTTGAAGATCTCCAGAGAAGGGGACTCCAGGCCCCCCCTGGGCAGCCTGTTCCAGTGCTCCGTCACCCTCACCGTAAAAAAGTTTTTTCTCATATTTGAATGGAACTTTCTATTTTGAATGGAAATGGCTGTGGCTGCTGTTCTCTGTCTTGAAGTGCTGCATGAGAAGAGGGTTTGAACCTAATCAAGTTGCAAGGAGAAATGAAACCAAGTTTTCCAGTTTCTGCTGGAGCTATTTGTGAAAAGTGGGCTCTGGTAGCCATTACAAGGTGAGAATACGGTGCTCAGATAGACAACTACCTACAAAAGAGGACTCAGTGCTTTGAATCCTAAAGGGGGTGCAAGCACCATATGTTCGAGTGATGCAGACAACTCAGATCTAGAGAGGAAAGAAGTTGAGTGACCCCCTTGAGTCTTTTATCTTGGATAACTCTGGAAGTTCACTATTCAGTATTTGGAAGGATGGAGTTATCCAACAGTGAGAATCAAGTCTCTTTGCTGGGTGTTGGGGAACCAGAGCATCTGAGGATAAATCCTCTTCATTTGTGAAGTTAGATCTCTATGTTTTTACAGATCTCCATGTGTTCCCTTTGTAATCGAAGGAGGTAGATAAATAAACATGGTTATATTTTCAGCTGTTTTAAAAGCATATCAAAAGCAGCTAACCCTGCTGCTTTTGATATGCTGAAAAACCTGAGCACACACTAATCTTCAACGCTCCAAGACCGCTCACATGCATGCTTGTTTCTCCACGCAGGGCAAACACCCAGATTTTGAAGGGATGTTATTGTATACCTATTGGTGTAAGAAACACATTTCACAAACACATGCAATACATATCATAGAGCATGTATTTTTTAACAGTGAAAGTATAAATACAATTTTTTTTTGGTGTTCTCCTTTGAAATTTCTTGAACCGATCAATTCTATGGGCAGGTCCTGGTCTCATTAATAGTGAATTTCATCTTAAGTAGCTCTGGTGTTGCCAATTCAATCCTATGAAGTGTGTTCTTGTTATACAACAAAGCCAGATTTTCCTAAGTGCATATATGGGAACATATAACAGGTTGGTATGAATTTGCAATGTAGACAGGCTGAACTGGTGCAACAGAGTTCATAACTCATATATGCAAGTGCAATTGTGCTGTTTTGGTCTGTAATATATTGATATCAACAGTACATTCCATTCATTCTTTTCCTAAAATACTGTTCTTTGCAGATACAACAAGCTAAATGAGAAGAAGACAGAATTTCTGGATAACATTGCAGTCTATGGAGATGCTTTCCTTTTACTGCCAGCATTTTCCTTCAGAAGCAATACAGCCACTTCTTTTAAAGTATATCACACTCTACAAGAGTTCAAAGCAACCCAAAGGGCAATATTTTTTCACCCCACCTATCTGAAAAGTCTAGCCCAGTTCTGGAGAACTAAAGGTGTGAAAGCCTACCGGTTGTCATCTGGTTTTATGATCACTAGTGCAGCTCTTGAGCTGTGTGAGAATGTGAAGCTCTATGGCTTCTGGCCTTTCTCAAAATCCACAGAGAAGATGCCAATCAGCCACCACTATTACGACAACCAACTGCCTAAACCAGGTTTCCATGCAATGCCCAAAGAATACAACCAGATCCTTCAGCTTCACAGCAAAGGCATTTTGAAGGTGCAGTTTGGTAAATGTGAATCAGACTAAAAAGGTAGGTCATGTTCTTACCACATACAATGTCTGTCTTTAAGTAATATGTCCAGGGAAGACTTTTTTTTTTCGATAGCGTGGGTCTGTTCTTCTTTAGAGGGACATCTCCACCTTACAGTCAATGAAAGTTGTGTTCGTAAATAAGAGAAAGGCTGGAGCTCTCTGAATAAATATAACGTGCCACAGAGTTTAGAAATGTTTCCTAATTGTGGACTTTAGATGGGGAGCATTGCTACGTACACATTATCACCATAATTCCCAGCCAGTCAGTAGTGTCTCCTCGTCTCAGATGTGTGTCTCTACCAACCCATGTTGGATTTGCTGTCAATTCCCATGAGCCGGCCTCCTTTGTGAATTGCTTTATTATCATAGAATCATAGAGTTGTCCAGGCCGGAAGGGACCTCCAAAGGCCATCTAATCCGACCCCCCCGCAGTCAGGAGGGACACCCCCAACTAGACCAGGTTGCCCAGGGCCTCGTCGAGCCTCTCCTTGAATATCTCCAGGGATGGGGCCTCAACCACCTCCCTGGGCAACCTGTTCCAGTGCTCCACCACCCTCACAGTGAAGAACCCCCTCCTAATCTCCAGTCTAAATCTGCTCCCCTCCAGCTTGAAGCCATTTCCCCTCGTCCTGTCACTACAGGCCTTTGTAAACAGGTTCTCCCCAGCCTTCCTGTAGGCTCCCTTCAGGTACTGGAAGGCCGCTATTAGGTCTCCCCCGGAGCCTCCTCTTCTCCAGGCCGAACAACCCCAGCTCCCTCAGCCTGTCCTCGGAGCAGAGGTGCTCCATCCCCCTGATCATCCTTGTGGCCCTATTAAAGGCAGTCACACACTGTGGTCTTCAAGAGAAGACACCTGATCCTGGCACAGGGGGTTACAGAGGCCAAAGACAGGGTAAAGATTGCCCCGTGCAGGAGGAGCAAGCCTGTGTGTCCATGTTCCCTCCAGTAGGTAAAGAGAGGTTCAGAGCAGAATGCTCTCATGGCCCTGGGCTGCACAGCAGCTCGTGGGCAGCAGTGAGGGAGCTGCCATACACTACAGCAGATCTTGCTGAGCATTTTACCTTGAGGTAGCTCAGAATCTGTCCTTTATAACTGTCCCATCCCCCTTGGACCTCTCCCTTCTGTGTATTGCCTCGGAGAAATGCAGCACAGAGTCTGCCCTCTGACCTTGAGCCAATTTACTGTGACCAGATTACAGATGACTCTGGAAACATTTGTCTGCTTGTTTTCTATCTCGATTTGCCCTGCTGACAAAATAAGACCTATTTGTATAAATACTACTTCTTCTTTTAAGCTAACTCAGAAATTCCCCAGCTCACGACACTGTTGTCAGATTTGCCTTTCACAGAACTCTGTTTTTCCAAGGTGTTCAAGTTAATATAACAGTGAGTGAAATGTAGGGTGCTTTAATTGGACTCATGTAATCTCATGACTGTATTCCACAAGTTAAATAAATTAAAATAGCATCATCTTATTCAAGCCAGAAATGTTAAGTTCAAAAGCTAAGGGCTTTTCTTCTAGCTAGGTTCTGAAATGTATTTGAAAATATCCTTTGATGGTATTTAGAAAACATGCTATCAAAGATACATTCACACTTGGTTCATCGTCAGAGACTGCTAAGTTTTAAATTAGCAGATTGTTAGTACCAAGAAGGCACAATTTTATTCCGTTCCAGTTTATTTGAAGAAATAGAAGAATAAACTACTTTCAATTATTAATAAATAATATAATATGTGAGAAGCCATCTAGTGAATCCCTTATCCTCGTCCGTGGCAGGAGATCACCTGGGAGGAGGGGTATGTGTATGCGGTTTCACCTGGCTTGTAAATAGTTGCAGCATATTGGAAAGGTTAAGAAATACATAATGTATTTTTCTCAGTGGCTGGGCTGTTTATACACAGCAGTTTCCATTGTATTTATTCTTCCTATAATAAAAATCACTGGAGACATACCATGTGATTTTAATTGTAGTAACTACACCAGCTAAGAAAATGAAAGGCAGCTCTTTATGAATATTTAATCTAGAGAGAAGCAGATAGAAGCCACAAAAATGTTTAAGTACCCGTATGGGTTAATTAAATGCTGTCCGTGCTTGACAGACTGAAAATCACTTCTGTGGCCAAATTTGCTAAATAAGCTGTAAAGAAAAAAACAACCAGAAGGGTAAATTGTGCTGCCCTAAGATTTTTCTCCACTCTGCAGAGAAAAGTTAGCCCTTTAAAACCAAAGAAATTAAATGCTTTCAGTATGAGCTACCGTTCTGCTACTATTATCAACTATTAGAGATAATTGAAATGCTGTAAGGAGTATATTTCACTGAAGATGACCTTCCCTAAGAAGTGACAGGTCTTCTTCCTTTTTTTGGGTTTCCCTTTTATATTCTTCTCCTTGCTCCACGCTGTTTCTCATTAGTGGGTGGCTGGAGGTTCCTCACCCGGCTGGGTGCCCCCAGAAGTCCCAGGAAGAACTTCCCTTCCCCAGTGCTGGGACACCAAAGGGTGGGTGCTGCTGTGGATGGACAGGGCAGGGAATGCTGTGGATGGACAGGGCAGGGAATGCTGTGGATGGACAGGGCAGGGAATGCTGTGGATGGACAGGGCAGGAGCTGCTCTGCTGCAAGCCTCTAGGTTGCAAGCAGGTAGCAGTTTCAGGAACAGCATAGGGAGAGCATAACTGCATCCCAGTGAGTGATTTTGGCAGGATTACATCCTAAAGGCCATCCTTTGCCACCTTAAAGGTGAACTTTTCTTACTAGATAGAATTGTCTGATTCAAGATGGTGAGGGGTCTGGAGAATAAGTCTTATGAGGAGAGGCTGAGGGAGCTGGGGTTCTTCAGCCTGGAGAAGAGGAGGCTGAGGGGAGACCTTATTGCTCTCTCCAACTCCCTGAAAGGAGGGTGTAGAGAGATGGGGGTCAGTCTCTTCTCTCAAGTCACAGGCGACAGGACAAGAGGAAATGGCCTCAAATTGCGCCAGGGGAGGTTCAGGCTGGATATTAGGAAAAATGTTTTCACTGAAAGGGTTCTCAGCCATTGGAATGGGCTGCCCAGGGAGGGGGTTGAGGCCCCATCCCTGGAGGTGTTCAAAAGACGGGTTGATGTAGTGCTGGGAGGTATGGGTTAGTTATGATGCTTCTTGTTTGTTGTGTGGGTGACTATTTTTGTCAGTTAGGTTGACGGTTGGACAAGATGATCTTTAAGGTCCCTTCCAACCTAGAAAATTCTGTGATTCTGTGATTCGAGAGCCCTGCAGAGCTGGTGCTGGACAGTGTGGGAAACTCCTTCTGCCTTAATGTCCCCGCTGGCACCTTCATGATTCTGCTCAACAGATACGGACCTGTCCTCACTACAGTAGATGGGTATCTATCACAGATGGTAAAATGGAAAACGAGACATCAGCAAAATCCTGAAATGTAATTAAAATAATGATCTTTATTACTTTGTATTAAATTACCAAATCATTTTCGCTGGGGCCCTGCAGCTGAAGGAAGTCTTGTTTGTTCATTGATTTAACCTGATAAGCCTGAAGGGCATGTCATTAGCTTCAAGTAAACATAGGTTCAAGGAGGGGAAATGGCCTGATTCATATTTAAAAATAGACAGAAAAATCGGATTAGAAAAATTGTCAGATGATACGTTAATCACACTGGCAAAAATCTGATTGCCCAGAAGCCTGGTTAAAATGCAGATTTTGTCTGACCAGGAATCCGTCAGGTTTTCTGCTTGCTAGAAAGAGCCAGCAGGGAAGATGAGGATGTGTTGCTTTGACGTGCAGCGCAGTAACGTTAAGCAGCTGCTCTGAGGAGTCAGTCAACAGAAAAAAAAACATAGAAAGAAAGGATGAAACAGAGACTCCCTGAGCCTGGGGAAGAGAGTGGTGCTCAGCAGTCCGAGCAGAAGGACTGAAGTGGCAGAGATGTGCTGGGGGTTAGGGAGGAAGAACTGCCCGACCTCTTGACTAAGGGTGAGTGTATCTTACCTAGGAAGCAAAAATTTGGTCTGGGCTTTATAATTCCAACCAGATGGTTAAAAGTCATCTGCTTCTGGCAGAGGACAGCAGTGCAGCCCTCTGCTCAAGGTGGAGCTAGCAGGGCAGCATCCTGGCAGGCAGGGGGGCTGCTGCTCACTTGCTCAGGAATGAACATAAAAGAGAATCATTTTGTTCCAAACTCTTATCAGTGTGTGATCTTTGTTTTAATCATGAAAGTTGCTGCAATCCGAATAAGTGATAAATACTGTTATAAATAGCCTATTTATAAATATAGTTATTGTAAATAACTGATTTATAACAGTAGTATCGCAACATGAGCTTAAATTCTGCTGAAATTCTTTTCTGCTTGCGGTTTCTCAATGTAGCTAGAGAAATATGAACTGCCCCACAATTCACTTTTAATTACCTTAAGAAAAAATGGTACCACATTTTGAAAATAAGGACACCTTGGGATTCCTGTCAGGCCGCCAAATTTCAGCCTATTCTTGATTTGAGTAAAGATTATCCAGCGTGAAATTATTAGATGTATACAGCATCAAAAGAAAGGTCTCCTGCTTTAGTACCCGTGCAGTATGGCTTTTAAGCACACACTTTGCTTGTGTGTTCAGCCACCAACTAGGAATAATGTCAGTAATGGAACAAGTAGATCTAAGTTGCTTCTGGTTTAGTTAAAACGTACCAGAATAGAAAAATATAGATTAAATCAAATTAAAATTTATGTTAGGTTTCAAATCACATGAAAAAAGTACTTACAGATCTAGAAAGCTTTTGTTTTGTTTTGTTTTTCCGCAGCAGAACTAGACTGTTGAAAAAACAGAATCATTTCAATCTTTAGCTATTTGAAAATATGATTAAGATAACATGATGTAGAAAATATTCATGTTCAGATTAGCAGTGGATGTGTCCCATAAAGATTCTGGTTAGAGCCTCGTTAACATAGGAAGCCTAAAGAGGGTGGTGCAGGTGGGGTAAGGGTGTGAGCAGGTCTGGGGGGGTTCAAATGAAGGA